CCCAATCTCTTACAATATTGTTCTCTTTGACATGACGAAGCCACAAAAGAGCCTTGCCAGAGATTAAGTCAACTGCCGATTCATACATGCTGTCGAGTAACCTGTCGAGCTTCAGCTAGTTCATATAACCTTTCTTGAAAAGATTTAACCCCTAGAGATTTTTATGAACCATCAAATTTTAAGTACCACTCATAAATTGAAGCTGGTTTTGAAGTGATTGGCAACTTGTTAGGATGAATTCGTGGAGGAGATGTATTTACAGACTGATCAAATATGGATGGTTCTTCTTTGATCCTCTTATCTTACTCTGCTTCTAATGTTAAGCAGGAAGCATATGCTTCATTACGAAATTCTGTAGGTGCTGTGTTACCTTCAACATTTTAAATTCTGTTTATTCTCATCATAACATGTGCCAAACGAGATCTCAACCTCAAATATAAAGGATCAGTTACTGGGCCATTCAAATCTGGAATAAATTGACTTATGTTGTCTTAAGTGCTACTGATTGAAATTTCTTCATTATCAAAATTGTATTCTGTATCAACAAGGCTAGTAGCTGATATATCCGACTTTTCCTCTCTCTTTATGGCTGCTGATAGAACTTTACGTTTGTCAGTCATAGGTCTATTTGTTACAATTCCCCTCATAGTTGACTTCCTCAATAAGTAAATGTCTAGTTTTCAATTCAGACTCCATTCTGAAAACTTCTTGTTCTTTTTTAAAAATTAGGTTAAGTAATATATGCCCAGGTATTTATATATTCCTAAAAAATAATTAGGGTACCTGAATAAATGCACATGAAAACAACCTAATCATATAATCATAATGAAAATTCCCCAAAAGGTATATGCTGCAATGCAAAAATACTCTGTGCACTAAATGACTCACCTCACTACCGGTAGATGAAGTTGGACTGAGGGGGCTGCACAAATCCAGAACTCCAGTGTACAGAACTCCAAGTGAACTCCAATAAACCTCCAAGTGAACTCCAATAGAATCCTTGGTAAAATGTTCAATTTTCCACAAAGTTCAATTTTCCACTAGTTTTTTCCAGCTGGTATTGTGCTGAAAAGTTGAAAAAATTTCACTATCTAATTTTCATACTGACCTTATTTAACAGTCTAAAAATCGGGCCCCACGTTCATGGTGCCATTTATCTATAACAACTCCTTTGATGTTTTGAAAAAGGAAAAGATTTTCATTTGTTATAGGCAAGGCAGCTCGTTTGTTTTGGAGCAGGTCGTGAGTTAGTTCTTTTTATTGTTCACCAGTGAGGTTATCCACCTGTCAGGCGCCACTCAGTTTTCATAGCGAATTACTGAGAAAAAATCCAAGATACAAATATAAGCCAAAGTAACTGTTAATAGATTTCAACTTAACATGCCACCAATTGGTATTTAGAATGGAGGTAACTAATGTTCTATGTTTCTAACTCAGTACAAGGGTAAATTTTCCTTCATAAAGGCCTATACTTTGGGTTCACAGAGTCTTTAACAGACTCAATAATTTTATTAAATGTATATCCGATATTAGACTGAAATGTGTTGTTGACAAGTGCTTAAATCTCTCTCGACATTAGACAGTGAAAAATTACTATTCGAATGTCCTCAGACAGGAAAAAAATATGTATATTAAATGTCCTCATACAGAGAAGAAATATGTATGTTGAATGTCCTCAGACAGTAAAAAAATATGGTATGTTAAATATCCTCAAGACAGGGAAAGAAATAGTTATATGGAAAATTCTGACCTTAACTACAAGTTCTGGATTTTGTATCATGAGATTCCAACTGTTGTCCACTAGATCTCACTACCTGGATGGAACGAAGACACTCCTCCCTCAGTCGGCGTTAGGGGTTAGGTGTGCTAGGAAAACTGGATCCCCACACAGTTGACAGGAGTCACAACCACCTGGAGACCTAGGCACTTGATTCATCCCAGGGTAACTGGATGCTGCGCTGCAACTCTGGCTGACGGGTCCACAGGCTGCCACCAGGGCAAGCTCTTCCTACAATCCAAGCTGGACCAGGACGTCTCACTATCTGACTGTGCTCTGGGAGTTCAGGCTCCAAAGTAACAAAATCCTAGGGATGGAGGATCATCAACCATACCGGGAGTCTGGAATCCTCTGGACTTCCTGTCAGAAGTCAGGATCATCGGCTATCTAAACCAGAAAGGCTGCTTGGGACTTGCACTGTCGGCAGCAAGGATTCTGCTAGAAATTCCAGGCTGTCGGGTCCTATAGATACCCGAGGACACACACAAGAAATCACCAGGGTCCACGTTCAACTGTATTGGTGACTCAGGCTTCAAAGCACGAAGATCCCTCAGGTGCCTCAACCATCGAAAAAGTGTCCACGTGATGTCCAAACAGTAAAGTCCAGAAAACATTTCAAGATTTCTAAATACCCATTGTTGATGAGATTCGATATTTAGTTAACAGTGTTGATAGATAAAATTCAAGTCCAGAAACATGCCATGTGGTCGAAAGAAAATGGAGCTTATCTCATCCACTTATTCTGTACCCCCTGCTCTCCTGTATAAGGCCGTGATATCTGAAATGTACATACCCTATCGAATATCATCCAAACGAGAAGAGATTTCATATTTCTTACCTTCCTATCGGAAAGGCCTAACACAACAGTAGGTGTCCACCACCTGACCTGATCACACGAGAGCCAAAATCACAAAGGGCTTCATTTTGGCTTCAACACATGAAACCTTTTCGCAAGAGAAGGAATCAGCAAGAAAGATGAATAAACGGAAACTGCTCAACCAACACGTTTCCGTCAATCAGAGCACTTGTGATCTATTTCAAAAAAATATTTCAAGCCGAATTTCGTCTCTGCGTAGCGTCAATCTAGCCACCGAAATAGTATGATTCAAGTCAGATTCAAGGAGGCAACTTGAAAGAAATATTAAATATCGATCATGACATCGATAGTCGATACGATAGTCGATACATTAGTCCATTCAACAGGTGATACAAAATTGTGAATAATATCCCTGCACCATTACAGGCCACTACCACTAAACCCGACAAACAGTCTTCTACTGGCGAGAGACAACAATATTCATGGGCATCTGACAAATGTGTAAGGTTGGATAAGAAGTGGACTAAAATAACCTACCAGTCATCCAGTCATGGACATTGAAAATGAAAATATTTAACAAGATGGAATTATGTAAAAAACCTCAAAACCTAGAAAAGAAAACATTGAGTTACGCAGTGCATCTCTGTTTATGTTACAGACTTCATCGGTCCATAAAACTTAGTTTGACAAATTCAGTTGTGCAGCGATTTCATGAAGAAGCCATTGACAAAATTGAACTCTAGGATGATAATCGGCTGCAGTCAATCCTTGAACTTTCTGGAAGTGGTAAGGATAAAGTTGTTGCTCGTGTAGCACCCGCCAGACGGAAGCGTTAGTCGTATTCATATCCTTAGCAATTTGACGTGTGCTACTTAATGGATCGTCGGCAACTCGCTGAAGAACCTCATCTTCAAATTCGACCGTTCTTACGGTTCGAGCAACACCAGTATCATGCATGTTAGTTTTAAACATGCCTGTCTCGGCATTGTACTCCGGATGCTGTCGTTTGGGATAACGTTCTTGATATAACCGCGCTGCTGCTCGTGCATAGCAGCTTGTTGCTCCGTATGCCAAACGCATATCCGCCAAGTTTACCATTAGCAACAATTAATTTTTTTTTGTTAAATTCTTGCAAACTTCCCAAATACGATAGCACGATCGAGGCGATATGGAATGCAACTACAAAAAAAATCTCTGTTATCGTTTTCAAACTTAACAACTCACAAGCGCCGGTAAATTGTATGAAATTTTTAATCATTGACATTGACGTTTTGAACAATTGTTGTGATGATATCATGAACAGAAGGCAAAAATCAATTGCATCAAATCCTATTTTTTCAAATCATCGTATTCCTGAATTTTAAGGCCGTAGTGACACTTATCCGAACATGGGTCCCACTACTCAAATGTTTTCTACTGTTGCACTGAATAACCCCTAGAAGTTCGATCCCTGTTTAAGTGTATATGTTACGGGTAAAGTTAGATAAGCGATTGAACCTTGGTTTACCCGGGTAATTTGCGTAATACCCAAGAAACATGGATAAAGTCCAGAATAGGTTTGGAATTGTTCACATTTCGGGCTTTACCCGGGTAAACCGCGTTTTATCCGCTTTTGCTTGGTTAAAGTTAGATGTACCTCAAATGACTAGGCCATTAATGTTTGGAGAACATATTCAATTCAAAAACACATTTTACAAATAAAAATCAGAATTCTAAAACTATAATATCTTGAAGGTAATCTACTCACGAGTACTTATTTGTTCAAACAAGATAAGCTGCTATGACATTTTGAGTTGCAAAAATTTCCACTAGCCTTACATTTACATTTATTGGTCATGCATTTAGTTTTACAGTTACATCGTTTATAACCTTGACCCCCTAAAAGTGATTGTTCATTTGCAAGCTGTCGTAAGCTCTTTTTTTCTGGTGATACATTTTCAAGATCTACAAGTTTTTCACTGCACACAGAAAATTGGTTCCTGGAAAACATTTTCACGATTGTTTCCTTCTCGTTTGCTAGTTTTTAAAAACCGTCATCGGTTTTCTCGATAACCGTCATGAGAATGTTTCTAAAATCACCCCTCCATCGATCAACGTCTGGAATTTTTACTTTCACTGTATCTCCAACGGAACATGAAGGGAACTTCGAATAAGATAAAGCTTTCATCTTTTTTACTTGATTTTCTAAATTTATTTTTGCTTCTTTTCTGTTTGACTGGAGGTTTTTTTGGCACAAGCAAAGTTCACACCTTATCTTCCCTGATGTACTTGGCTCATCACATTCTGCACATCTGGTCTGATTTTCTGAAGTTTCTTTATTATTGGCGTTTTCTTTATAATTATTGTCAATGTCTTCAATATTGTCACATTCAGTAATATCTTCTTGCGGATTGTCTATTTCTGGGCCTATAGATAGTGATCCATAGGCTGATCTTCGATTTGTTCTTGTTGACGCTGTTCTTCTACACCAAATTCCCTGACCACTTTCTCAAGTTCTTCTTCGGTTCGTATATTTTCAATAGGTTCTTTTGGAAAAACTGATGTGGATAGGCCGACTTTAATATCATGTCCAAACATGGCGGCGTAAGGAGCTCGTTTTATTCCATCGTGGTATGCCCTGTTTTTCATTAATTGGACAAATCGCAGACCTTCTGACCTTCGCTTGCAGTTTTCATCGTCCATCCACGTCATAAGCATATTTTGTATATCTTGATTTGCTCTTACAATTACAAATTTGTATCTATATCGTCTTTCCTTATTAGCTTTCAAAAAGAAACATGAACTAGAACAATTCACGGATGTCCACAACCATGATACACGCAACAAAAACAAGTTCATACCACCTCAATTCAATTATACAGTGAACAGGAAAGGTCCCTTATATATGGCAACAAAAACATTCAACCACCTACCGTCCTCAATAACAGGAATAGTTTCACTAAATATTTTCAAAAATAAAGTCAAACAATTTTTTCAGACCCACGTTTATTACGATACCAAACAATTCTTCAATGCCCACTTATAAATCGCTTGATTGTTGTACTTATAAACTTGTGAATTATTTTGTATATATTACTTTTTGTTCTTATATTTATACAATATTAACATATACATTTTCAACTTATTCTTACAATATCAATATGTAATTTTTTACTTATATGTAAGCTTAGATGCATTTTTCAAATATTGCGAATATGTTTCACCATCTTATTTCTTGTTATTATCATCATTACAATTTGTGTAATTGCTTATTATAATTGTGTAAAAACAAACTAAAAATGAACTGCTCTTCTCAATAGCTCACACATGAGCTCCAGCATGCATGAAAATCTTCCATTGAAAAAAATTAATTATAGTTGTATGTAATATGTGTATTCTGTCTATTCTGTACTATTCTTTCCACGTTGCCTTGAGACTGACTATGACGTGGTTTGCCATGTACTATTTTAAGGCCATTTCACATGGCACATAACTCTTCAATGACACGGTTCGCAAACTCTCGCCCGTTGTCCGATTGTAGTATAGATGGGGCGCCAAAAATACAAAATATGTCTATCAGGATCATAGCAACTTCCTCAGCTCTTTTCGATTTCAATACACGTATCTGAACAAACTTCGTTAAGTGGTCCAGATATACCAAGATAAATTTGTATTTTCCATCTGGATGGGATTGCATGTCAATAAGATCCACCTGACAACGGCTGTTCATCTCCGAAAAAACCATTGGTTTAACCACAAGTCCTTTTTTGACAGATTTCAGTTTTTTTTACACTCTTCACACAAGCGCAGATATAACTTGATACTTGATACATCTTGAGTTATATTCTTGTACTTTTTGTTACATTCACTTTCCATACGATGTTCACCACCATGCCCAATGGCCAAATGTGCATCATGCAAAATATCAAACATTTCGTCGTTTTTAACGTAATATTTTATGCTGGAGTCACCTGATGATACGCGAGCAATAAGCTTTTCGATGCCTCCAACAGAACATATGTCGAACCTCTTCAAACGTCGATATTGTAGAGTCGACTTGGTTTCAGCATTTTTTGCTAACATCACTGATTCCAATATTTCTTGGAATTGTTCATTATTATAATAAAAACTGTTCGCTCTTTTCGAAGACACCAACTCATCGAAAACTTCATAGAAACGCTGTCTTAAACAAGCGCGTCCACTCTCATCGGTTGCCATTTTCGAACTGCACGTGGCCACGTCACGTAGCGGTGGTGAAATAAAATCCTACACCCAACTTTAGCCAAGGGAAAACGGATAGAACGCGGTTTACCCGGGTAAAGCCCGAAATGTGAACAATTCCAAACCTATTCTGGACTTTATCCTTGTTTCTTGGGTATTACGCAGTTTACCCGGGTAAACCTAGGTTTAATCGCTTATCTAACTTAACCCGTAACATATATACCCACACTCGTATCATTAGATTTGGGTAACAATGATTTCATGAATAACCTGAAAGGGAATGAGTGGTCAGTCAATGAGATATTTTGTCTTATTATTTCATATAGAAACAACGAGTATTGTTCGATTTATTTATTATTCTCATGTTATGTTTATGAGCTACTTTGTGATACATGAATTTCAATATCTTACTTCTTGAAAAAATTTAATCTTCGCATCTAAAATATACAGCAACCATTTCTCATTGAATACTGACAATTCAGTACTATGAATATAACTGTTGGTTTCGAGCCGATAGGTAACCTGAAAGAAATTTCAACATTAGAATGACAATGAGAATTCAGAATTGAAGTTTCATGTTCAATGTCGTGGTATTATATAAAAAAAATCATCCCAGCTATTTATAGAACTCTCAGTGATATTCCTCAGACCATCAATAAGATTCGGAAATCAGATCACTCCATGGACTCCAACGAATAAGGGGGACCCCAGAATATCCCTCTTGTTGGTTATTAACAAAACTACTGTGAAGGCCAAATTTCGTCTGGGTGTTATACTCACCCGGTCCTCTGATAGGCGAATCAAAGTAAGTGATGAAAACTACTGCGAAGGCCAAATTTTGTTTGGGTGTTATACCCACCTGGTCCTCTAATAGGCGATTCAAAATAAGTGATACGCCCTCTTGCGGATATTCAACTAACTAATGGAGAGTACATCGAATGTTTGTTGACATCCAAGTTTGAATGCTTTTCATCGAGTGTTTAGTGGTCATTGTGATATTTTTCGACATTGAAGTAGTCAGTAGAGTAGGTATCTTGAATCATTCTGGCTCGGTTTCACATGTTATTCATGAAAGTTTCCCCAATGCATTTCACAGAAAAAAATAATTTCAATAACTGTATAATTGAGAGATTTTTCTCAACTTCGAAATTGAATTGAGTTGCCCTATAATCTCAGAAGTAAATAGTTACAGTGGGAATTCGAAAACATGAAATACTCAGAAGCATGATACATATATCGACGCGTCCATGCCAAAACGGCACAAATGCCATCGAATCAACTTTACAGGAGAGACTAAAATCTGATTAACTTCATTCGTAATTGCCACACAAGTCTGCTGGATGTCTTCAATGAAAGATTGATTTTTTTCATTATTTTTGATGAATTTCTGATGAAGATTCTGATTCTCGCCCTCATGCAATAAATGAAAAATTGAAAATATGGCGCTTGTGCCAGTCCACACTAGGTACAATGTGTTTATGCTAAAAGTGATACTGGCGTTTGTGTCATCGAACATTCAAGGTTTTGCTCGAATTGCCGCTTATACAGTTGATATGCCAAGTTAAAATTGATGTGTGTGATTTCTCATGTGTGTCGTTTATGCCACCATGATTATTTTTTTATCGCTTGGAGCGCAGGAAAGGAAATCCCTATAATGTTCAAAGAACATCGTGCGTACCTAGGGAGGATAGGGATAGGAGGTAGGTATTGGAATTTTTTATGATGATCTACAAAATATTCCATCATAAGGAAAGATTTTTATCTTGAAAATTATTATCATCATTGGAAAAATCATGTTTTGAAACTGTGAAACGATTGAAAAATTTCTTATTCAAAACTTTGGAACTATTGGGTATCTGATAAAAGAGTGAAGAGATCATACAAACAAAATAAAATTCATTAATAAAATAAAAACTCAAATCTTATTCTGAAAAACTCAAGAGGGATAACTGGCTACATTGATGAAGATAAAAATTTTAACTCAATAATCATCAGTTTCTTGGTAGAAAGATACAGGAGAAGAAATCAAAAAGCCTAGTTCCACCACTTGATTTTCAGTTTCTCTCAATGCCATCAACAGAATTTGTTTGCTTCTAGAGATGTTCATCTGCAAAGTAAGGAAACGGCATAAGCGCCAAATATCAATCGCAGTTTTGAAGCTGTTCTATTTGAAATTGATTATCATCTTCCTACTGACATATCAAGCGACGATAGGTTTACAGTAAAACATAAAAAAAACAATGAATAATTGTATTTAAACATGTTTTTTCGATGTAAGGATAATGCATGTGATTCGCTATAAGCGATGGCATTTATGCCAAACAAGTTCTCATGATACTGTTTTGGCATTAACGCCTCATACTTTTTCCTCAAAAACTACGATTTTGGGTGATAAATACTGTTACGATTTTACTCTGGGTCCGTAATAACTTAACACTCGGTTTAACACTTGAAAACGATTTATTCTGAACACTACTATACAATAATTACAATACTCGTACTAAACACTTCCGATTCACAACACTTCTTCGATCGTTATTATAACGCTTCCAAATAAAGACTTCCCCCCTGTCCCTAACAACATCTATTTATATTACCTAATGAAACGTCTAGATTCCACTCGAAATATCGTGAACAGGTCGATAATCTTCTCGAGTCATCTCAATAGCCGTCGAATCACCTAATTACTATTCCAAGAAATATGGCTTGTTTACTTCCCGTTCCCGCAGGTAGCTGGGATCGATTGCCAGGGTCGTAACATTTACCCCCTTCTTCAAATTTGATCGTCCCGATCAAAAACAGAACTCTCCTCACCATGGTAGCGCTTCAGTCTTTCAAGATGAACGACTTTCATCTTTGTCCTAGGGCTGCGTTGGATTCTATAGACCACATCATTGATCCTTCTCAACACCTTATACGGTCCTTCCCAAGATGGTGTTAATTTGGGTGATACGCCTTTCTTCCGTCGAGGATTATACAGCCAAACTCGATCTCCTTCAAAGAATCCCTCTGAATTGGCTTTGAGATCGTACCGTGCCTTCATTTTGTCACTTGCTAATTTCAATCTTTTCCGAGCAGTCTCATGAGTTTTCATCAAGCCATTCCGGAGCTCATCTGCGTAGTCTTGTACTTCCTTTTCTTCAACACTTGGTGAACCGAACACCAAGTCACAAGGTAAGCGGAGTTCTCTTCCAAAGACTATACTAGCTGGAGTTAGCTTCGTTGAATCATGGACAGCTGCTCTATACGCCATCAGGAATAAGGGAAGATGCCTGTCCCAGTCCCTCTGATGCTCTTCGACTACTTTGGAAAGATGTTCTTCCATAGGTCGGTTGAATCTCTCGACCATGCCATCGGATTGTGGATGTAGTGGAGTTGTTCTCGTCTTACTGATTCCCATTAGATCACAGACCTTTTTGAATAAGTTCGACTCAAAATTTCTCCCTTGATCAGAATGTAATTCCATTGGTACTCCGAACCGTGAAAACATGTTGTCG